GGATTGATCGCTAAATAATTTTTTTCCTCGCTGATTATTTCCAATGACTGAGGAGTACTTTATTCAGGTGACTGAAGAATAGGGTATATTTGCTAGGGCAAGCGTGTTCAGAGAGATACTTCTCTGTTTTCTATACGTGCTGGTTTTAGCAGTGTTGTATGCCAAGCGTGGCTCTCCTGGGAGGCAAGGCCGTCCGTCGTGAAGTTGTGCTGGCTTGCGTGATGCACTTAAACATTTGCTAGGGTTTGGGGTGGGATCGTCGAAGTCCATTGTCTTGTATTCTTTGAAAGCAGATCTATGAGGTAAGGAGCTGGTGAATTAATTAATTGTTTCACTTACATGCAGACGAAAAGAAAGTGATTCTAACCAGTTTGTTGGAGTTTCTTTCTTTGGGTTTTTGGCTGGTTTTTTTGCAATTTTTTTACTATCTGAACAGAGGAACAGATACAAATGAACGATGGTAATCATCTTTAACACTCAAATTGATTAGAAGTTTCACTTAGCGTTAAAGCAATCATTTAAAAAGAGAAAAAAACCCAAACCCGAGCCACAGATGATAAAACAGGTTTGTCCAGAAGCTTGCAAACTGTCAGCTGGCTGAATTTGAATAACCTTTTGGGAATCAGAAGACTGGGAAATGGGACAAGGTGTCAGATGCTTGGTAAGATTGATGTGTTTAATAGTTTAGTTAATATGGATCAACAGCTGCCTTTCGTTACGTCTGCACAACCCCCTGACTTCAGCAGAGTTGTACTTTTGGAAACAAGTTTGGACCAGTGCTTTTAAATAGGCCCCAGTGCAGAATATATGCAGGGAACCTGCTCTGCACAGTGCCAGTGTAACCGTGCAGCTCTGCAGTGAATGGGTAACACAATGTGTTATTGTTTCTAGTGTAATTTTTAAAATACATTGAGGACTAATTTTTTTTTTTGTGATAGGGTGCTCTTTGTCTCTTTAAGTAACTGTCAGATATAGGACGTCCTCGTGCCAAAATGCTACGGTCTGCTCCCTCTGTGCAATTGTTAATTAAATCCATTCCTTATTGTAGAGCCTGCCTGAGTCTCTTACCCGTCCTCTTATCTGCGATACCAGATGATGCTCTGTAATTCATGGCCAACCTGCTCCCACCTTCAGCCGGGCCTCCGGTGCAGTGACCTTAACCGGTTTTACCTTTTTGTTATTCCCAAGGAGAAGAGAGTCCCAGAGGCAACAGTTTTATCAACTTTTCCTGCTGCCCAGATGATGGTTCAGCGATAAATAAATGGAGTGTGCTTGCACTGGAGGCCTCCTACACACCGCTGCGGGCCATCCCCACGCCTGTCCACGTGGGAAGGGGCTCTTGCACTGGCTGCAGCAGTGAGCCAGCAGCAAGAATCACTTTCGCCTACCCAGGTAATGCTGCGTTTTCCTCCTCTGCCACTTATCAGGTTAGCTGAAAACCTCTGCTTAACCCTGAGCTATGCCACCTGCAAATCTGTTCACCCCACCAGCGAGGCTGATGCACAGGAGCTAGTAGGGATATTTTCATAGCTGACAAGCTGTTTCCCATGAACAGTGTCAAAGATTTAAAAGCCACCTCTGCAAGTGGGACTTTCTGGCAAATGTAGACTAAGCAAATTTTTTATTATTACCACATGGCTAGAAATACTCCTAGAGTTCTCCTGGAAATGGGTACTGTACCAGCAGAAAGCAATATTCTGTTGGCCTGTGCGTTGCCTCAAGGGTATTTGCTATGGTAATAAGATCAGTAATTCATCTCCTAAAATCATTCGGAGTACAAATGCTTATTTAAGTAGATGGTATCTTGATTGCAACTGAGTCAGGAGAGCTCTTAAACTTGCCTATTTTAGCTGCAGATCTTCTGTTAAAGGCAAAGGGCTGGGGATTCTGGGTAAATACTCAAGAACATCCTGTTTCGCAGCTACCTTACATTTTCAGCAATTCACAGTGGATGCATAGCACGTTACTTGGTGAAATGGACGTTCACAAGTATGTCAGGAAATGAGGACTGTTGCCTGTTATTTACTTCTTTATTTATTTTTACTTTCCATAGCATGCAATAGAAGCAGTTATAAGTATCTCTCCATCTCTAAATGGTTGGTTAAAACAAAAGAGAGAGAGAGAGAAATCTATCACTGCTTATGCTCCAGCAGCACATGGCGCCATCTGAACCCTGTCGGGCTGGGAGATTGGCATGAACATAAATTAAGGGACTGACTCTGCTCTGAAGAACTTGCCTGTGTTGACAAGAGAAGAGACCAGAGAAAATGGAAAGCTCTGGGGGTAAAATGATTTCCTTTATCACCCAGTAGGCTACTATGAGAAATATCCGACGCTCCTGAGACTTGCAACCTCCCACCTGCTGACTTGCAAACTCTATGGGCCCCTGCTCTGGAAATCCTGGAGGCACAGGCCTCTGGTCTTGCTCAACTGCTTTTTTTGTTTACAAAGCTGATCAAGAGAAAACATGGGTTTATGGTGAAGGCATAGAAATAGGAGTTTAAGGCTCTAGTTTATAATATCAAACTCTGCCACAGAAAGTCTTCACAGAAGGGAAGAAACTCTCCAGAAACTGAGAGTTTTGTCAAATTGTTTTATTTGAGGAAAACCTTAGTTTGACCTCTGAGACTCCAAAATCAGTGCCTTTATCTCTGTGATAGGGAAGTCACAGGTGATCCATAGTGCTTCACATTGGTAATGTGGTATCTAAAATGAATCACAGAAAAATTGATCTAGGAGAAGCACCTACAACAAATGTTCTCTGGTTTGCCAAGAACCCCAACCCCATAACAGAGGGCATGTGGCTGAGATAGAAAGCAGTAAGAGTTTTCCTGCAGTATCTTGTTCTGTACTTTAACTTCATCAGTACTACTCCTCCTTTATACAGTTACTAAGCTAAATATCACTGAGGCATGTGCAAATCTGATGAGAGAAATGTATGTTCATGCTCTCTCTATATTTTAGAAACTAAAGATTTTTCAGCACGTTGGTTGCCTTGTGAACCAGAATTTTCACTCTGATTTTCTTCTGCGGCCACAGTGCATAACAAGCATTTGAAATAAATTTCACGAGTTTGATCACTGTTGCCAGACAGAGTATATATGCAAATTAAGCTAATAAATTTTGCTCTAGATTCCACCAGAACGTATGGAATTGTCTTTCGCAAGTTAACAGTGCTTAGCACTTATGTAGCAATTTCCGTGCTCAGAGACAAGCTTATCAATCAATGCAACACCTCTGAAAGGAGCATTACTGCGTACTCCTATTAGATTGTGAAATTTAGAACGTATAGACGTTTTCTGAAGTGTTGGTCAAATAGCCCAAGAAACCTGGGATTTGAACATGGGAGTCTGTGGTTTCAGTTGCATGGTTAGGCCAGACGGCTTTGACAGACAGACCCCTTTACGTGTTTAATAGATCCAACTCTGCTGGGCTTAAAGCCATACATCAGCGTGGCTATACTCCGACTTTGAAATGTGGTGATAATACAACTGGTTTTTGTAATTGCTGCCTTGAGGTCCAGAGGTGGGAATAAGGCATGCTGCTGTGATTTGCTCCTTCCAGCATTGTTAGGAATTGCAGGAGCTGCAAGGTGTGTTTCCAGCGCACATTAAACAGGGTAGTGCTGCATGACCCCTGCCTTTTTTTACGGTAATAGATGTGACAGTGTTGGCTTCAGCAAAGAAGGCGATCCTGACGTAGTGAGGATAATTTTGTTTGGAGTGAAATCTACTGAGTTCCCTCATCTCTTTTCTGTCCGTGCTATTGTAGGACACTGTAATGGTACTGCTAATTTGTTCTCCTTGTAGCCAAGAAAGTGTCAGCTGAGATTGTTTCTGCCTGCTATGTCCCGTGAAAAAAAAGTGTATTGTATCCGGTAAGCTTGGTTCAGGAAAAGAGTTTTGTTCACTGTTACCAAGTGTCTGCAGGAGCCACCGGTCGAGTGCAGTGAAAGAGGCCTCCTATAGAGGGTATCATGAAAGACAAACCGTTCCAGTTGGTGACTAGAAGCATATCAATAAAGATCACCTCCTGCATATATCAAATGGTTGATAGCAAGTTTTAAAGCTTTTTCAGTTCTCTGCTACTGCCATCCAACTGCAATAAAACACATGGGTTTCTCTGATACCTTCCAGATAAAGCCCCCTTGTGCTGCATGCAAGAAGAGCTTCAAGAAAAAGAAAAAGGGGCACAAGGAGTTATTACTTTTAAGTAGCTCAGTCCATTGCTTTTTGGGTGACATTATCGCAACCAGTGCAGGAATGGGACTGTGAAACACAGCTTTGCTTTGCTCTGTTTGCAGGCAGCCTCTGAGACTTGTCGGCGTCATAAATCAGCCTGCTCAAAGGTAGCAGCCCGGCACATGCCCCCTGAGCAGGGAAAAGAGCTTCAGGATGCCCAGAGGCAGGTTACGGCGGCGAACAGCTGTGTAAAATTCACACACCTCTGGCAAGGTGAGAAAGCACTGTTCCTGTGCTGGGTGGACCTGAGCGGGCAGGGTCCTGTGACGCAGGCCGAGTAGCAGCTGGTCCTGCACACCGAATACATGGTGTAAGCAGTGGTCCTGTTCGCGTTGCCCTACCCGTGTCCTGGATAGCAAAGTTTCCAGTTCTGCCCTTGTTTTGGGGTGGGGGAGAGCTCCTTGCGGCTCCTCCTCTCCCTGTGCGTGTGCTGAGGGATGCTGGAGTCATCTCAGTGACACGCTGAGACTGATACGCTCAGGGCTTCACGCGCCAAACTCGGTGTCCTGGTGTTAGTAGGAACTGGTTGCTTCTACTGGTGAGGACTCACTATTTTGAATATTCACATGTCCAGACTCTGTGAGATGCTCATACCTGAAAGCTATGGGAGCGTTATATGGGTTTTTGTGACAGAATTCATATCTGTTTCTTTGCCTCATGCTGGTGGAAATCCTGTGTTAGCTTTAGGGAGCCTACACCTCCTCAGGGAGCCACCTCCTGCTGAGATGAATATTATGGTGAGACACTGTGCCCTGCACCATGGCTCAGCAGAGGAGGAAATCCAAGTCTCTCAAACTCAAAGAACTGGGAAAACACCCTGAAAATACTGAAGCAGTTTAAGCATACCATAGTTTAAAATACCATCGTTTAAACATAAAAGCTTTATTCTGCTTATGTCAATGCGATTTCTACCACTGGCTTAACTGAACAAGGGTTCTACTCCCATGTTTTAAACCATAGATTTTCATTTGCCCTGTATAATGTAAAGATGGGTATCAACTGGGAAGTCTAAATTTCTAGAAGTCTCTCTCTTAGTATTTCTTATTAAATTTACTACTCCAGCCTACTGCAGCTTTCTGTTCTAATCATAGCATTGCTCAACATGGCCTTGCACTTCAAAGGGGTTACCTTACTCTCACAGCAAATTCTTCCCAAGGTTCGCTCACTCGAGGGACCAGCACCAGATCTCTCCGGTTGTGCACATTGGCCAGATTTTCAGCTGCCTTTTAATCTTTGGCAATTTGAATTTATATGGAGAACTTACAGGTGACAGTCTGGCTCTGCTGAGACAAGTAGGATAGAAACCATGTCAGAACAGTCCCTGAAAGTCCTACAATGTGCTTAAAGCATTTCCAGAGAACCCTTGATCCAAAGTATCAAAGGGTTATAGTAAGATCAAGAAGAATTAAAACTGATGGTGTGCCAGAAATCACGTGCTGCACAAGGTCATTACTCACCCTCGTTAAAGTGATCTCAGTACTGTGGCCTGATCTGAAGCCTAATTGAAAAGTTTCAAATGAAGCATTATAACGAAGACAAGACAGCCACTGCCCATTCCACGACCTCTGCTAAAAAAGGCAGATCAGTAATAGGGTAGAAATCTAAGCAATTGCTGGAGGATAATCAAGGCCTAATGAGGTAGCCACTTCAGTCTTTCAAAGGCGAAGGAACCTCTCTCTGGCGCTGGAGAGAAAGCAAAAGGCTGAAGCAAGCAAGTTCTCGTATCCCAGGGAGTGTGCAACGGCCAGGCTCGTTGAGGTGCTCGGTGGGCTGGGGAACGCGAAAGGCAGCACCGTGTCTATAGCGAGTGTTGTCAGTTGTACAGCAGGTGAGTCCTGTGGCCTAGGACAGCCTCCTCTCAGTTGCTGCTTCTTTTGCAATCATTTTCTGTTACCTCAGACCTTGACCCAAAATGGTCATAAGGAGCCCATCAGGTCTGAATTATTAGTTGCTGTTGTGTTAGGAGCCAAGACAGTGCTAATAGGAGATAGCTAAGTGCTGATGTTATCAATTTTCCCTAAAAATTCACCTCAAAACAAAACCCCCACTACAAAACGTTGACGCTCCATTTGAGCATGATAACAAACTGCAAGTCACAATTACCAAAAGAAATCAAATATCTTCTTGGCATCTTCCTCTTTTTTTGCTCTATTATCTGTCCTAGCAGAGAGGTCAGTGCCCATATCCACATGATTATCTCCACATCCAGCTGCCAAGTTGTGAACGTTGCTCTTCCTGGGCTACTGCTTGGGCAGCTGCAGTACAGGCTTTGCGCTTGCCTCGACTGATGAGCGGTTTGCAGCCTGGAATCACCACTCAGCCTGCAGAAGCTAAATGGTTTTAATCTTTTTGGAAAAGTCAGCTTGCCTATTTTAACCTGTATCTGCAGGCTCTGCTTTTGTGAGAAGAGGGTGTCTCTCCAGATTTGTATCTGTTTTTTGAGCAGGTTGGCTTGCAGTTCCTAATCTCCTCCTGTCTCGATAAGATCTCCCTCAGGCTGTGAACTACACTGGCCATCCGAAGCTTGACCAGACAGAAACGTTGCGCAGGGTTTCAGTGCTGGAGTACAGCAATCAGGGGTGGGCCTGTTTAAAGGCATCGTGCACATAGGCAAGTTAAAAAAAATTCTTTAGCAGTGTGAAGCGTTTCCTCTGGCCTTCAAGTTCCCCTCTAATGTCAATTGCAGTTAAAATCACAGTACCCACTTTCTTTGCTGTGAATCCTACTTTAATTCATTTCTGCTCTTTCATGTTATTTCCTTCAACTTTAAACATACAGACTGGAAAAGAAAGATAATGTGAAGGAAAAGTTATAAATAAAAAGCTAAGACCTTGTTTATGCAGATACTTAGGTGGTGTCCTTTAAGACCATGAGAAGTGCAACTGGAATCATTGGGTCGCCTTTGGTCTTAGAATGGAACCATGTGTGCACATGTTTTGCTGAACTGAGACCTTCAATACACGACGGATGGCATCAGCAGTACAACATACTGCTAGTAGGCTGAGAGTGCTGCTTCCGTCTGTTGCTTGCAAATTAATTGTGTAGGTCTCCATGGGTAAATACGGTGTCACCACCAGTGCCTGCTGTCACAGAGGGGGAACTCACGAGTCTCTGGACTCTGCACCCTACTTTGCTCGTGAAGGGTCTGTGTTTTAAGCTGCTGGTGCTGTATCTGTGAAAGTGTTGGCTAAACAGTCCTGCTGGGGGAGAAACCACCAGCACTGGCGTTTCATCTCTCCCAGGAGCTGTTGGTCAGCGCAAGAGGACCTGGGCTGCCCTGGCTGTCGTTGAACAGCTGGCACATCTGCCAGCCAGTGCCAGCCAGCCAGCACATCTGCCAGCCAAGCAATTCGGGAGTGGAGGGGGTCGCCTCAGCGCTGCAGAGCTGGCACTCCCTGCCTGCCTGTGGCTGGCGAGCAGGACACAGCCAGAGACGGGTTTCTGGTGCTGGCAGGAAGATACAGCCTCAAGAGGTATTTCTTGAGATACTTTTTCTCACTCAGAAGTGTTGTTTGATTTAACCAGTTACAGGATTTGTTTAGTCGTTTTGCTTGTATGTGAATGAGGAAAACACGCAGATGGAGCAATGCTTGGCGTTTCCCTTTGGAAAGGGCGCTGAACCTGCAGCTCTCGGCCATGGCTGATCTCTTTGCCTTCAGGGCTGTGTTCTTCTCTTGGGTTGCAGGGAGTGCAACGGCCTGTGCTTTTCCCCGGTGCTTGCAGCATCAGAACAACTCCCTAGGTCTCTCGACCGCTTTATAATATCTTGGGCTAGGGAAAGTTAAGGCCAATTTTGAATTTGTCTATTCTCCTAATGTATGTATGAGCGTGTGTGGTGTGTGTGTGTGTGATGGGCCACTTGTTAATGCTCCATGGGCCATGTATTGGCCGCTACTGTTTTGGCTATGACAGATAAGAAAAACTTCCAAAGAACTCAGATGTGCTTAGATGTGTCTTGAGGAAAAGATGGGAGTGAAGGTACAAGAGAGAGACGCAGGGGAAAAGACATTCCACCAGTGTGCAAGCCACTTGCTTCCTGAGGTTTTAAGTAATGAGGGGAAATGAATGTGACATTTAAAAAAAAAATGTAGATCCTGGAATCCATGTGGCAAAAAATAGGGCAGTTGAGTTATCAGGATCTGATGAGAATATGAGAAAAGTAATTATTGTATAGTTCTATTAATGAAATTGTACTGCAGTGCAAAAGGAAAAAAAAAAAAAAAGAAAAGTCACCAAAGAGAGGCCAGTGAGTTACTTCAGGGGGAAAAAAATAGCTTCCATCATATGAATAGAAATATCAGCTTGTTAGCTTAGCAGAGGGCTCTGGACAGTTATGGAAATTCAAAACATTTCCATATATCCCAGTCCAGGATGGAATTAGAGTGTTGTAAAGCTTCCCTGGAAGCCAACATTTATCTAATATGTAAGCATATTTAGATTTCATTTTAAAATGGCTGTTAAAGGCTATCCTTTGGCTGCACTCTGTCCTTCACTCTAACCTTTTTTTTTAAATTGTTGGACTCAGATTTTTATGTTAAAAAAATTTACTTTCAGAACTTGAAATGCCTGAATGACCAGCTACAGTATGTGCTAACCCTGAGAGATATCCATTGAATCTGCTCTCCTCCTTCAATTTACTTGCTGTTTTTCCAATCATGCCTTGCATTAATGTTCTACAGTTAGCTAAACTGTGTGTTATATTTTAGATCTATTTTTGTTTTGTCTAAAAAATTTCCAAATTGGCATTAAGTATTCAAGATGTAATCTCTGTAGCAGGAAAGTAGTTATCAGATTCATATAAAATAACTGGGCAATAGAAATAACTTTGAGCAGAGTGCGGGGTTTTTTTTCTTAGAATTAATTTAAAGGGAATTTAATGCCTGTGAAAGGTGCTGGATTGCAACATCAGAGAACTGAACCACAGAACGGTTACAGGATGGAAGATGGCTTTACAAGATTCCCCATGAGGTTTGACAAAATATTTGTCTCAGGTTTGTTGTTTCTCATCTATCTGGAACAACTGAGCCTTTTCATGTGTCAGTAACAGTCGCTCTCAGTTAGCTTTCGCTTGGGTGATGGGGAGAGCCCTTCTATAAAAAGAAGGTTTTTTGCTATTTTTGTTACTAGCCATTTACTAGCTAACATTTGTAACATGGTTAAACCTAGAAAAGACAGCATGCCACCATAAGTGACGGTCCTGAGTCTGAAACCCG